AGCCCTACCAAGCAACACCCCTTCCCGCTTCCAGACTGGAGCTGTGCTGCTGGATGGGGTCTGCTGGGCCTGGTGACCAAGGGGTACATTCTAGGCTGAGGTCTTTCCTGATTTCCTGACTGCTTGAGAAGCAGCGCATGAGTCTCCCTGCCCTATAAATCTATTTTTACTCCTCATTAAGTGCACACAAAGGGCCCTTAGCCAAGAGCCTTTTCTTTTCCTTTCCTCAGATAGATCTGAGGGAGCAGGGACAGCTCCTGCATCGGGACCCCTTCACTGTCATCTGTGGCCGGAAGAAGTGCCTTCGCCATGTCTTTCTCTTTGAGCACCTCCTCCTCTTCAGCAAGCTCAAGGGCACTGAGGGGGCTTCTGAGACTTTTGTTTACAAGCAGGCTTTTAAGGTACATTGCTGAGAACTGAAGTGGAAGAAGGGCTGGTGCTCTTCAGAAGGTTTTTTTTTTTTGGCTCTGAATGCCTTCAGGGAAGGTTTGGCTGGTTTGAGTTGTGGGGATGGAACCACAGCCACCTGAGCCTGACTGCTTTGTTGCTGGTGCTCTTCAGTACTCAGAGAAGGTCTGTAAGCTCAACCCAAACCAGATTCAGAATTGACATCACCAGCATAGTCTTTGGTGTTCAGTCAGTCAAGGTAAAGGGTGACAGAAGTTCCCGTCACTGGGCCACTCTATGGCATTCTCCCTATAGTTCTTGCGGGAGACATATCAGGCATCTCAAACTAGAAGAGGATCTTTTCCAGTAAGGACATATAGGGCTTTTGAGTTAGGGATGGTCCCTGGAGTATGAGAAGAAAGGACACTATATAACCACCAAAATAAAGTCAGAGAGATAAGCCTTGCTTTAGGAAACCAGCCATATAACTGTTCATAGCAACCTATGATCCTGATCAGACAACATGGAATGATTCCAAGGTGCCTAGACTCTGTCCTCCTGTACTGATTTGGCCTTTCAGAGGGGAATGGAGTATAGAGAAAGAGGCCTACGTTTGAAATGACGTAGACATAGGTCCAAATCCCCACTTTAATAATCTGTGGGAAGACCTTGGGCAAGTTGCTTCATGTCACTGGGCTTCATTTTTCTTCTGTAAATTATAGTTGTTGTGAAGACCATGGATTAGAGCATTTGAAAGTGTTTACTGATCATCCCCCACCAGCCAGGCTAAGCACAGTGCTTGCCCAAGTGGCACCAGGTAGCCAGGACTCATGCATCTCCACCCACTGCCCTTGGTCCTTCCTCAGACTGCTGACATGGGGCTGACAGAAAACATCGGGGACAGCGGGCTCTGCTTTGAACTATGGTTCCGGCGGCGGCGTGCACGAGAGGCATACACTTTGCAGGCAACCTCACCAGAAATCAAACTCAAGTGGACAAGTTCCATCGCCCAGCTGCTGTGGAGACAGGCGGCCCACAACAAGGGTACTGGGAGTAACAGACAATGGGGCAGGAGGCTTTCTGGAAAATATAGGGATTGCTTGGGGAACTGGCGTAGAATGGAGACAGAGGAATGAGTTAAGAGATGTAAGATCTGGCTTCAAGGAGACGGCTGAGTTTGAGATGAGTCAAAGGTTGCCAGGCATGGTGGTGCAGGCCTGTAGTCTCTGTGCTTGAGAGGCTGAGATAGGACTGCCAGGAGTTCAAAGCCACCCTGGGCTACATAGTGAGTTCAAGGCCAGCCTGAACTCTGAAGTGCATAGATCCTATCTCAAAAAAAAAAAAGCAGGGGGGGCTGGAAAGATGGCTCAGTGGAATAAGTGCTTCCCTGGAAAGCGCAAGGGTCTGAGTTCAATTCCCAGTTCCACCAAAAAAAAAAAAAAAAAAGATAGATTCAAAAAAAAAGAGAGAGGAAAAGTAAATTAGTTTAACTAACAAATTTCAGGGAAGCAAATGGCTGGGCCAAAGAAAGAAACTACACACTGGATTTGAGATTTGGATTTGAGATTAGGAACAGGTGCCCCCCGGCTGTGTGATCTGAAGTAGTTTTTTGGTTAGTGGTTTTGGTTTTTAGTTTGGATTATTTTTTAAATTTTTGAATCTCAGTTTACTCCTTAGAAAAATTAAACTTGTATCTTCATTTTAGTGTGATAGGAAAAATACAAGATAGAATACATGGAAGCACTTTGCAAGCTGTAGCAATTTGTAGAATTAGAAGCTGAGCATTAAAAGAAAAGTCGGTGGCCAAGATGCCAAATGGGCAGAAGTCAACATAGATCTAAGAAGTCACAGACACTTCACCATCCACATCAGGATATTCAAGGGGAACAGCAACCAGATACCAGAGAAATGAGAGGGGAAATAGTGGGGAGGGAGGGAAACTGAGTCAGCCGTGATGTGCTGGGGTGGACTGAAGAACAGCAGATGGAGGTTGCTAACAGGGTGTTTGTTCCCTAGAGCTCCGCGTGCAGCAGATGGTGTCCATGGGCATTGGGAATAAACCCTTCCTGGACATCAAAGCCCTTGGGGAACGGACACTGAGTGCCCTGCTTACTGGGAGAGGTGAGGGCCAGCATGTTGGGGGAACCCCCGGAGTTACTAACAGTGCAAGCAGTGGGGAGGCCTGGTGGGAGTCAAGAAAAATAATGAGTGGGTATCTCTTCTAAAATCCGTGGGACTGAGAGGCCCTCTGTGAGACTGAGTTGTTCCAGTGAGCCAGGCGGGCTTTCCCACACCAGCACCCCACTCCCACCCCCACTCCCCACTTTCTACAGCTGCCCGCACCCGGGCCTCCGTGGCCGTGTCATCCTTTGAGCATGCCGGCCCTCCCCTTCCCGGCCTCTCACCGGGAGCCTGCTCCCTGCCTGCCCGCGTCGAGGAGGAGGCCTGGGATCTGGACGTCAAGCAGATTTCCCTGGGTGAGGCACCTCTCCAGGGGTGGCTCCCAACAGCTGGGTCATCCTGGTGATATTCAGGCTGCCTCCTGCTAAGCAATTCCTTTTTCTAGCCAAGTAGCCCAGTTGTCATGACAACTATGTACAGCTTCCCCATTGCTAAAAGAGCCTTTCATCTGGTTGCTAGGGTGATGCTTACAGCAGCTTGTTGCTAAGAAGTACTTCTTCTGTACCTCTCTCTCTAGCACTCCTTGGGTTTCTATGGAAACTGCCTCAGCATCCTGTTGTACCCTCCTGGTTCACCACGGCAATCCTTATAGTTTCCTGTCGCTTCTTCCTTGGTTGCTCTAATGATGCTGCTGACAATTTCCTGCCTCTTGGTAGGGGGGTTCTCTTGCAACTGGATTGCTATGGTGACTCACAGCTTCCTGTTGCTATGGAGCTTTTTCTTCCCTGATGGAGCAGCTTGGTTGCTTAAGGTAATCTGGAGCGGTTTTATACCCTGCTCTCACCCAGTCTTCCCCCGTAGCCCCAGAAACACTTGACTCTTCTGGAGATGTGTCCCCAGGACCAAGAAACAGCCCCAACGTGCAACCCCCCCACCCTGGGAGCAGCACTCCCACCCTGGCCAGTGGAGGGATCTTAGGGCTATCCTGGCAGGTAAGTACCTGCAATAAGGCTGAGGATGGGTGATCTCTCTGACCACTTTCTGGGTGGGTTTTTCTCATCGTTCAGCCCCTTAAGGGGCATGGGGAACCAGTGGTCTTGTGCTCCCAGCTAAGGCTACAGGTTGGCTTACTTGTTCAGTATGCTTTTCTCCTCTCCCCAGTCCTAGTGAAGAGACCCAAGTTCAGAAATGCAAAAAGAGGGGCCGGGGAGATGGCTCAGTAGAATAAGCACTTCCTACAAGGGTCTGAGTTCAATCCCCAGTTCTGCCCCCCCCCCAAAAAAAAAAAAGCAAAAAAACTCCTTAACCGAAGCAGGCTTAGGGGAGACAGGGATATGTCTCTAAACTCACTAGAGTTTTCTGCCCTCAGAGTCACTCCCGAGCCCTAAGCGACCCCACCACGCCTCTGTGACCTAGGTGAGTCAACATCCCGCCCACCTCGTGCCCCAGGCCCTCCTGCAAGCACTGCCCTTCCTCACCTCAGTAGCCCAAGAGTCAGTCTCTTCCCTCTCTGAGTCCATCTCCCTCCTCTCCTGGCTTCTAGAGTGGAGCCAGCACGTCTTGGGCTGGGATGGCAGTGGCACCTCATGGAGGACTAGGACAGCACTGCCTGCCTCTGCATTGTGGACAGGGACGAGGGCTGAGGACCAGAGCATCCCCCAGCTACTGCTATCTCTAGCTCTCCCTGCTTGGTGCCTTCTCCTGCAGGAACCAATGTGGCCACACCTGCTTGCCTTCATATCCCGGAGGTGGGAAATTCCCCCTCTTGCAGTCCTTCCCCACCCTGGGCCACTGTATGCCCCCAGGACACTGCTGCGCTGGCAGAAGACACATTATCTGCCAGGACAAGGGAGCTCCAGGTGACTCCATCCTGTGGTGTCACACAAAATGGGGCTGTGCAAACCATAATACTAGAGGGGGGCAGAAGCTGCAGTCTTTTATATATGTAATTATTGTTATTATACTATTATATTAAATGGACTCCTACTTTGCCTCCCAGGAGCCAAAGCCATCCTCTGGATTAAGGTATTCTGACTAACCTGAACACTCCTCCCCTCAACCATTAAGTAGAACACAGGAAGTAAAACCAAGGCTAAAAGGTACTCTCCTTCTTACTGGCCCAAAGCTGCCTATGCATGATGGAGGCCAATGTGTTCCTCCACAGTGGTTCCCAGGGGCTCAGTGAACTCTGGAGCTTCTCTTCCTATACTGCACCCACTTCTGGAGACTGAGCTGGTCACAGACAAACTGGGGTCCTGCAGTTCTCCAGTGAGGTGCTCAGGCCATGGTGCGTGAGAACACCCTAAGATATTTGTTAGGTATTTTAGGCTCCACCCAGAGGTACCAAACATGAAGCATGAGACACAGGATTCTGTGTTTCCTATCAAGCTCTTTGGAGTGATAACTAGATGCATGAGAAGGTGAGTGTCCTGGATCAGAGCCCCTGGAAGGGAGTAAGACATAGGCAGACAGACACAGGGCCCCGTGCCTTGAGACACCTGTTTATTGGGGACACGACTGCAACAGGGATGACAGGAATCGTACCAAAAATAGCAACGTCTACAGGGCCCCTGATGGGGCTAGAAGGGTACAGTGCCCCCCACCCCCACCCCCTTGTACAAAAATAAACTCTCAGGCCTATGGACCAGCAAAAACTGGCAGAGTGGTTCCTCGACGGACATAACCCCCTCTGCCAGCCCTGGGACCCCGTTCTTTGACCCTTACCTCTGCCACTTCTAAGGCACTGTGACTCCTGTGGGCTGGGTAGGAACTGTCTGCCCACCCTCCTTTGCCCGCTGCCGCCCCTCGGCCTCTGGTCGGCCTTGGGCTGGGTTGTGGGTCCCACGCTGCCCCCTGCTGGCTGCTCTACCCAACTACCTCTAGCGCTTTCCTGCTCCTGCAGGAAAGCTCACTAACTTAGCTAATCACCCCTAAGAGGGTTCCCTACCGCTCCTGACCCCCCAGTCCTGCCTCTCCCGATCTTAACCCAGGGCCCTCCTCGCCTTCCACAGGAGGACTGGGAGGGGTCTCTCCTGATGGTGCTCGAGTATATGGGGGAGATGCATCAGCCTGGGGCTGCCGGCGACCTCGAGCCCGGCGGCTGTGGTGCACCTGCAGGTGCAAAGCCATAAGCTCAGGGGCTCCAGTGGCAAAGGGGCAGAAAAGGCAGCGGTGGAGGGCACCCCCTGGCCCAGCCTCACCTCCTGGTCCTGCCCGTAGGGACAGGTCCAGGGGCTCAGCCTCACCACCTCGCCCATTGCGCAGGGTCCTCCCGGGGCTGGCAGGCTTCCGACGGGAACCCGGACCAGTACTACTGGTGGCCCGGGGGCTTGTGGTGCCCTCCACCCAGGTAGTAGTAGGCTGCTGAGCTGACTTAGCTCCAGACAGTGAGCCTGAACCCCGCTGGGAAGGGGGTGGCGGCTCAGGGGGTGGCCCTGGGCCTGCACTGCTCCTCTGCTCACGGTGGTGACGCTGCAGATGATACTTGAGTGAGCCGGACTGGGTGCCCGCGTAGTCACAATGTGGGCACTTGTAGGGGCGCTCACCTGAGAAGAGAGAACACTGTGGGGTCCCCATCGCCACACACTACCACTTGCATCTGGTCAGTTTACAGCCTTCATCCTCAGATCAGCAACAAAACACAGCCTCTTCCACCAGCTCTGGCATAATAAACTTGACACTTCCCAGTTTGGCCAATCTAATGCTGCTAAGCCCATTCCCTACCCCTAAAGGAGGCCACCTCCCTCACCTGTGTGCACGCGAAGGTGTACTTTGAGGTGATGTGCAGAGCGGAAAGATTTTCCACAGAAGGGACAATCCTTGCCAGTGGCACCCCGGCCCCCTTCAGGTCGGGTTCCTCCAACCAACAGACCGTTTTCTTCTGCAATACACACATTGAAAATAAGTTACAGGGGCCCTCTGCCCTGTCCAGGCAACATACCCTTATACCACCTGCACCTGACTGCTGCCCTAGGAGGCCTAGGCAGATGGCAGAGCCTGGGGGATGTGGGATGTTTAAAGGGTTCTTTTTAATTTTGTCTTTTTGAGACAGGGTCTAGCTATGCAGTTCAGGCTGGCCTCAAGCTCACTTTGTAGCCCAGGCTGATCTCAAACTAGGAAGGATCTTCCTGCCTCAGCCTCTTGAGTGCAGGGATTACAGGTGTGGGCAGGGACTACTACATCCAGCTAAAAGCTTCCTCTTAAAGGAAACCATAGGAGGTGGGATCGGAGTTAGAGAAGACGAGACTCAAGAAACCCAAGAAAGAGTCCCTACATACCCTGCGTGGCCGTAGATCTTGCCTGTGCCCCAACAGCAGGCGCAGTGTGCCCTGTGCCTTCACCAGGACGTGGGTGCAGGGAAGCCAGAGGGCCCAGTGACCTGCCCCTGGTCCAGTTTTCCTCCTCAGCTTCAACCACAGCCGTCTCCTCCTCCTCCTCCGGCTCTTCTGCGCGGTGCCGGCGAGCCCGGGCCGGGAGAGTGGATGGCAGTGGACGGAATCCTCCAAAGCTGCGGCCAGCTCCAGGCTCTGCGCCCTCCCCATTGGGCCGGGCTTCGCCAGCTCGGAGGCTCAGATAGCCCAAAAGACTCGGGGGCTCACGGCGCTCCGCTGCGGCAGGTGTTGGGCCCAAGAGGAGTGCAGGCCCCAGTGGCTCATAGGCCAGCAGACCCAGGTCAGGAGGCTGGGGCGCCCGGGCAGGCCCTGAGCCAGGCCCCGGGGTGCGCAGAGGGCCCAGCTTGCTGGCGTGCACCTTCATGTGGTTCTTAAGGAACCAGGGCTCCTTGAAACAGCGGCCACACACGGGACACGCGTGATCAAAGGAGGCCTTGTGCTTGCGCATGTGGCCCTTGAGAAACCAGGACTGCGTGAAGCTCTGGCCACACACTTGGCAACGGAACTCCGGAGGTGCAGGGGGCTCCTCTGGAACTGCAGGAGCCGGGGCAGGGGTGGCCTCACGTTCTGGCGGCTCTGGTTCTGGCTGGGGAACCGATCTGGGTTCGGGTTGTGGTGGAGGCTGAGGCTGGGGCGCCACAGAGGTGGCCGCCAGGGGGCGCTCAGAAGCCCCATGCACCGTCAGGCTGTGGTGCAGCAGCTCCTCTTCCTGGCTGGAGCCGAAACTGCACAGACTGCACTTCCAGGGCCTGTGCAGGATGTGCAGGTGTCGTTCACGCTCTGCGGAGGTGCGAAACTTGCCTTTGCAGAAAGGGCAATGGAAGGCAGACGACGAAGGAACCTGAGGCCGGGCGAGGCCCTCGGCGGCAGGAGCACCCTGCATGCCGCCCGCGCTCCGTGCGCGCCCCAAGCGGGCCTCGCGCAGCAGGGCGCGCTCCTCCAGCTCCAGCAGCAGGCGCGCCGCGGGGCTGCGGGGGCGCTCAGGCTGTGGCTGGTGCGTTCTCAGGTGTGAGCGCAGCAGAGCCCGCTGCGCTGCGCGGTGGCCGCAGTGTGGGCACTGGAAGGCCTGGGCCCCGGGGTGCGCTCGCAGGTGCAAGGCCAGGATGGAGTTGAAGCGGAAGCGCTTCCCGCACACAGGGCAGGGGAAACGCCGATCGCCTGCACGGCTGTCAGGCCAGCCCACCGCTCCCATCCCGGGCGGCCCCGCGCTCACGCCTGGCCCGTTAGAGTAGCGCTGCAAATCCAGTTCGCCGTCGAAGGCAGGTGGTGAGGGCGCTAAGTGGCCGCAGGGGACACGGGGTCGTGAGCCCTGAGGGAAAAAAAAAAGATGAGCATACAGCAAAGGCTGTAGAAAAAACGATCTGTGGGGTTATACCAGGGAAGAAGGGTTGGGGCCTGACCCAGAACAGCTGGTGCTACCACCTCCCAAAGTTAAGGAATGGGTGATACTGGGTGTTGGGGCCAAGGAGATACTTTACAATAGGCGGTAAAAACAGGAAGGTAGGGAAGGGAGTACTGTGATAGGTGCTGGTGGGTATTCACAGGTTCAGGCCAGAGCTTCACTCACCTCCATGGACCCCCTTCACATTCTTTGGTTCTGGGGAGTGCGGGAAAGAGGAGGAAAAGCTGCTAGTGAAGGCAACAGGTGCTGAGGAGCTAAAGCAAAAGAGAGATTCAAAAGATGAGCCCTAATTTTCATCAGGAGCAAGAGTCACCCTCAGTTCCACTCAAAACAACCTGTACTCAAGAAAACTCTCTTCCTCACATTTGAATCCTAAGGCACAAGGGAGTAGCTGTCCTTAAAAACAGCTCCCCTTGATTTGCCAGCTACAAAAGCTTCCTTGATGATCCAAATTTCTTTCCCCTAATTATATATTTTAAATGCATGGTCCAGAACACCACCACCACTCTATCACCTAGGGAGAGTAGGGAGTACAGTATCACAGTATACCCTGTTCCATGTGTGTGGAGCTGTGCACCTTGATAAGCAACTGAGAAGAGCTTGCTGCCACGCTCCATAGTTATCCAGGAAGGACCAGTCACTCCCAGACCCCTAGCTGACCATCTGGCCAAACATCTTTCCAGGTTCCACTGTCCTTGCTTCTGTCCTTACCCTTTTGGTCTTTCCTCCTTACTCTCCCTCCCTCTCCGCCTAGATTCCTGATCCATTCATTTCCATTCATTACAGAGACTCATTCATGCATGGGAGAGAAACACCTCCCAGCAGCAGAGTCTGGAGACAGACAGAGGGGGAGGGGCATGGAGGGGGAGACAGCCAGAGAGGGAAGGAAGAGAGAGTTGGGGGAGGAGTGGAAGTTAAGGGGCACTGCCAGCCTGAGGAAAGGGTTAAAAACTGCAAATACCATCTAGGATTCATCCCGTTTCAAACCTTGGAGCCTGCAGTTTGATGGGGCATCTCAGCCCCTTTGTCCAGAGCTGTTCCGAAGCAGGCTTTCCTCCTCTCTGCAGGGGAGAGGCTTCCTCACACAAGAGGAGGATTACACTGGCTCTGAGCTCAAGAGGCTGGAGTGAGGGACGGGGGGCGGGGCCCGGCCATCTGCACAGATAGGGCTCAGTACATGCTCCGAGCAGGAAAGGGTTAAATTCTCCAGCTAAAATTCCCTAGGCCTGAAATGTGCAGAGCTCCAGGGTTAGGGAAGAAGAGCACTGAGAGGAAGAGGATGGGGGCGGGGGTCCTGGTTCTAAGCAGCAGAGGTCAGCTTTTGGACTTAGAAGCAAGCCCAGAATTAAAATGAATGGAGACAGGCCTGGGAGAATGACAGAAGTCGTTCAGTGTACCTTCCTTCCCACATAGTGTATATGGTCAAGGCTAAATTAATGTAGGCCTACACCCACCCCCGCACGCACAAGCCTTGGCCTGTGTAGGGTATTTGAAATATAAAGAACTTCCCACAACAGGCATTATGAAACCAAAATGAGTTACTAAGAAAGAAAAGGACTCAAGCATTACTTTGCTTACAGATCTTTAACAGAAAAGAACTGGGTCAGGAGTCTGCCCTCTTAGCAAAGAAAAGGCTCTGGAGGTCCAAAGCTGCCTTATTTTGAACATTTAGTAAATGTGGTTAGACTCCATGAAGGTAAAAATACCTGTTACATGAAGAATCTGGGCTTGGGAGTATTTTTAACAAGTTAATTAATGAAATGTCCTTGTCCTAGGGTCACTAGATTGCCTCCGCTCCCATTAAGATATGTATATTTCTGCAGCTCCAAATTCAGGGATCTGCTCATCCTCTAGATCTTCCCAATAAACCCCCTTCTTACAGCCAAGAGCCTAGCCAGGTTCACTATTTCATTAAAGGGGAATTAGAATAGTAAGCCCAGTCTAACCATTAATGGAACAGCCCTACAACTTTCAATCACTTAACCTCTCAGTATACATATGTAAAATAAAAGGGTTAGACTAATTCACAATTTTGGTCCGTTCCAGCTTGAACATGTCGTAATTCTAGGTCCAAGACTCTTTTAGACCCCAAAAATGTTAAAACATATGGTCATTTCTTCAGTACCATGGAGAGAGCAGTGGGCTACCAGAGAAGCCACTTTGGCCACCCCAGTACCATAGATAGAGCTATGAAGTGCTAGAGGGGTCACGTTTGCCATTTTAGCGCCATAAATAAAGCATTGAGAAAAGCTTGAGAATTTTTAAATGGAAACCATGGGGGAAGGGGGAAAAAAGTGGTGCCAGAGGGATTATTTTGGCCTTTTGGATGTCACTGAAAATAGAGGCAAAAGAAAATAGATGAAACTAGGAAATTTTTAATTAGCTATAAGGAGTGTCCTGACAGTTACAGTTTGTACATCCTGGAATGAGTTACTGAGGCATCGTATTTGGGTTCATCACATTCTGTTGCTCTCCTGGGGATTCCCGGAACATCCTGGTGTACAGCCAATCTGGTATATTCAGAGGAAGCAGATGGCCGGGGAAGGGGGGAGGAGGGAGGCTGGGAATACTGCATGGTCATAGCTGACTAACCTATGGGCACATATTCTGATTCTGAGAAAATTCTAGGCTCCCTAGAACTGCCTGTAGGATAGCAAGCAAAACACCTCATGGGAAGTTGGCCTCATTTCTGAACTAAAAAGCACAAGAACAGAGCAAAGCTTCTCCCCAACACACACACATACACACCAACAAAAACTCACTTTACACACAGCAGTCTCCAGGATTCAAAGTGATATATAAGACCCAAACTGAAGCTGAATTCCCATGGGAAAAATTCCCCCAGAGGACAGCCTAAAATCAACAAAATTCACTGAGACCCCTCACAGGCCCAGTGAAAGCTGCCTTCCTCACCTCCACACCAAGTCAGATTCCCAGGCACCCAATCTCACAAGGAGAGAGCACTGCCAAGGTCTACGATTCTACACACTGGCTTGGAACCTAAGTCACGCATGCATCACCCATGGACAATAACCGCTGAGTGTTCCACACTCAGGCCTTAAACACCATCTACCCGACTTGGCCAGACAGTAGCACTGACCTACTTTCCATCCCTACTGGGAATCAGGGGTTATCTTGCCCTTATTTGGATTCTACATGGTTATAGGGCCAAAGATAGGAATCAGAATATTTCCAAGACAACCAGCCAACTACTCTTACATGCTAGGAACACTGGTGGGTATGAGGATGTCAGCCATCAATCCTAAGTAGAAAAAGAGGGGTGTTTGGTGGAAATTACAAACAAGGACAGGTAACACCAAAGCATCTGATACATAGGGAACCAACAAGACTGTCCCTTCAGCCGTGTGGTTGAAAAGTTTCTAGGACCAAAGTGGAAGAAGCAAAGGTCTGGGATCTCTGAGGTCTAGTTAAAACTAGGCCTCTGTTTCTGGCCATCTCTAATACTTGATATTTTTCCCCGTTGCAAATCCTACACCTTCCAAGTCTGCTAACAATTATGATAACCACTGTGCTAGACGGGATTAAAAGGAAAAGGCGTTTCTCAATTGGTTTAGAGTCAAGACCACTCTAATCATATAGCCAATGATTCACTGTTATGGTCTCCTCTCTGTAGCCTCTAAACCTTGCTAATCGGCTCCTCCAAACTCACCCTGTACAGCAGCCGCCACCTTGCACACTGAATTCCTGATAAGTCTCCTTTCCTCTGTCTTCACTACTGAGTTGGGGGCATGAACCCTCAGTCATGGACTCAAATATTGAACAGAAGATGACAAGAAGCTACACCTGCCGCCACCCTACTATGATGAATCTTACCAGAGGCATGTCCTAACTTGACCCTGATTCTGAAAGTTCTGGAGGACCTAGATTTGAGGAAGGGGGACACGCAGCTTAATTTCCCTTCACTGAAGCTGACCTTAGAAAAATCAGTCCTAATGCCCATGTAAGCATCAATCTTCAGGCTGGGGGGGGGCAAGACGGGGTAGGCAAGAGAGCCCCTGGGAAAATCCCCCTCGGTTGACAAGTAGGGGAGGACCTGTGATTCCGCAGGAAAGGCTCTTCCAGCAGCGCCTCAGACCCCTCCCAGGGAAGATAAGCCAGAAGGACGATGGGGGCAGGGTTGGGAGATAGGGAGGCCAGGACTCTGCTACCCCGGCCAGGAGAACAAAAGCTGAGTTACAGCCGCCTCCGCTGCTGCCGCGGGCTGAGCTCTTTGTGACACTTTGTTTGGGACGCAGAGAGGGAGGCACCCCCCATCCTCTCCCCCCCAACACTCCCGGAGAGTTTGGGTTCCCTCCCCCTCCCCCACCGGCCCTACCTGGGCCGGGGGGCGCTCGTCCTCCCAGGCTCGCGGCTCCAGCGCCCCGCACCCCCAGGCCCCTCGAGCCCTGCCTTCGGGCCCCTACAAAGACGCTCGCCACCCCCCACCCCTAACCCACCCCCGCAGGCCCTTCCCCTTTGGTGTCCGCTCCCCCAGCTCCCCCACCTGGCCCCCTTCCCTCGGGGCCCCCCTAGCTCTCCAGGCTTCGGAGGCCGCCACCCCCACCCCGCCCCCCCAGGAGCTCCAGGCGAAGTTTGCTCGGGGCCGAGCCGGCGCCCCTCCCCCGCCCCCGCCCCCGCCCCCTGCACCTGCTCCG